TAGTTTGAGGAATCTTTGGCCAGGTACCTACACGAAGGGGGCAATACAGCAAACACTATATAAAAATGTTACATTATCTGCATCATAAAAGGTAAACTATAGAATGAAATGAAGTGAGGCTCTCCTTCCTCTTCTGACCAGACTTGTTCTTTCTAGAGGAAATTGTTGTTGATAGTTTCTTGGATGTGGTTTCAGAAATTTAAGTAGATTTTAAAAAGTGAATTTTGGATTGAACATCCTATTTTGTTGGTTTAGGAAAAAGTTCCTTTATGCGAAAGTAAGAGCTTGTACATTCTGACACAGCGTTTTATCCGTAGCTTCCAAAACCCTCTAGAACGAGTTTTTCTTTTGGTATTTACTTTGCAATTCCTCGCCCTCACCTCCACCCCTTCTTACTTTGATGTCTGCATGAATTTGTTTCTGAGTTTTATTGTGGGCATAGAGAGAGTGTCCAAACATCTACCTTGGATTGGGTGGAAGGGGAAAAAACTCAGAAAACTCTTGCAAAGGATGATCATACTCAAATAGATGGAGGGGAAGGACTTACGGCCTGGTCATAAGATTGGAAAAAAGTTGGCCAGGATTTAATGCTAAATATTCTCTCAACTATCAAGCAACAAAAAAATGCAAATAATGCAAATTCGGATCAAGGATTAGATACTGTGTATAAATGGACGCAGTGGCTGGAGACAGTTCTCCAGGGTTTCTGAGTTTCTCTCTAGCTTGTCTGCAGAGGCACTAACTGCTTTTGCCTGGCACTGTCTATTCAGGGACGTTTACATAGTACAAGGAGCTGAAGATTGAGCGGTGTCCCCTGCAGCAAAGGACGGGTTTATTTACTCTCCGACATCATAAGGTAATGTCTTCCTCTGGGGCAAAGGGCAGGGAGGTTTGCTGCCCATTATGAAAGATTTGGGTTCCCCAAGCTCAGCATTCCTCTCCTGTAACTCAACTCAGGTGCCTGCAGGCATCACCTGGGCCTCTTTCCATCGAGGGCTCGGAGAAGGGGCCCAAATGGCACTCTGACTACTCCATTCCCATGAGTAATAAAGTCCTTCGTTCCTGACCCAGGAGTCACCTGTCTTCTGTCAGTATCCTTGAAAGTGTGTCAGGCTAAACTGTTAGCTTGCAAAGAGGGCACAATCTCAGGCCCTTCATAGTTCTGGACCACGGTAGATAGGACAGCAAGAAGCATCAGTGATTCAGCAACTTGGTGGTTAAGATGACATATTTTTCTGATGGCCAAAAAGTCCAAGTTGCGGAGAGGTACGGTGAGATAAGGGAGATGAATGCTCCGGTAATAAACCTCAAAAGTTGGTGTCATCTGTGAAACTGGAAAATCCAAGTACGGTTACGAGGTCAGGTCCGGTCTTTGGGCTGCCAGTCTGTTGGGTGCCTCGGGTGAACACTCTCTGGGAGGATGGGAGACTTCAGAGTCCTGGACACCATTAGGGGGATGAGCACAGGGTGGGTCTCAACAGTTTGAAATAGAGGACAGGTACACATCATTGTGGTATGTGAAGTTCAGATCAAAGTAAGGCAAATTGTCATTCATTAAACTGATATTTACTTCTTAAACACATGTCAGAGCTTCCCTGGTGGCGCAGTGGTTGAGAGTCCGCCTGCCGGTGCAGGGGACACGGGTTCGTGCCCCGGTCCGGGAAGATCCCACGTGCCGCGGAGCGGCTGGGCCCGTGAGCCATGGCCGCTGAGCCTGCGCATCCGGAGCCTGTGCAAAAAACACATGTCATATATTTATGCTCTTAAAAATTTATTGAGGACCCAAAAGCTCTTGTTTGCGGTGGTCGCATCTATTGATATTTATGGTATTACAGCCAAACCTGAGACATTTAAACGTATTTATTTATTAATTTACTTAGCATAATAGTAATGAAACAATTACATGTTGGCATAAATATTTTTTTGTGAAAATAACTATTTTCCAAAAACCAAAAAAATTTCTGCAAAATGTGGTCTTATGATTTTGGAAATCGCTTTAAGGTTTTGGCTTCATAGAACACTTTTGGATTCTTGTACCTGCTTCTTCATTCAATCTGTGTGGAATCATAAGTTGTGTAACCTCTGGAAACAAGATCACCAAGAGATAAGAATGAGAGAATAGGGGTGAAAAAGGCAAACAATATACTGTATTTGTGTGAAAAGAGCTTTGACCTTGAGGACTCTCTAAAAGGGTCTCGAGGATACCCAAGGGTCGCTAGACCATATTTTGAGAATGAACGATGTAGGTATAGCATGGTTACAAAATAAAACAAGTGTAGCAACATCAAAAACATACAAATCACTAGTTTAGGAAATCATGTCGCATTGATTTTATGGTATGAATAACACAAGTTTAACTTCTGGGTTTCCTAATAGAAGTTTCCGAAAGGTGCCCTTGATGTATTTCCTTTCGTTAAAACCATGAAACCAATGGATTTTCAGCAGAGAGGTCCGTCGGCATGCCATCAGATGCTTGGGGAATCATTAGCATTTATACTTGAGAGAATTTCATTCATGGCTCTAGCAATGTAGAATTTTTATAACATTTTACAATAATACCCATTCTTCCTTAAGGGCTTAGAGATTAATGCCTCATTTAGCATGATGGAGAGTATATGATGTTTGAAAACAGGCAAATAACATTTGGGCAACTTTAGGCAGATTACGTAGCCTCTCTGACCCTCAGTTTCTTCTTCGGTAACATGGAGTAATAGTGAAACCCAGGCTGTGAGGATTTATATGCCAAAAGGCCATAGTCTGATGCCTGGCATCCGGGAAGCACAGGCAGGATTCCCAATTCTGACTTCAGTTGTGGTTGAACTTACAGTCATCACAATGTGCGTCCAGCTTCTGCTGAAACACACTCCCCAACAGAAATGCTTTATTCTCCAGACAGCCACTTCCATTTCTGAGAGTTCTAATGGTTAGAAAATTCAGGAAGCTACAACTTCCCTTCTGCATTTCACGTGGGTCCCTGCTCTTCAAATGTTTGAATAAGTCTAAGCTCCCACCTAAGCCTCCTCTTCAGATTAAACACTGCCACAGCTTTCAGCTGTCCCTTGCGTGAATGCTCCAAACCCTGCCCTGCCGCTCATTTTCTTTGGCTGCAAAGTGGATCCAGTTCTGGACGTCACAGAGCCCGTTCAGGCCCAAACCACAAACCGGATATGCTTTTCTTTTCCTTTCCCTCCTTTCTGTGTGTTTGCGGGGTTAGTTCATCCTTGTGTTTCGCCACAGCCATTGAAATGTTCTTGTTTGCTTGTTACCTAACCACACAGAGTGTCAGTCACTGAAGGTACCTGTTGCCAGCTGAGCAAACAGCCTGGGACAGAAAGCAACGTTTCCTCAACTCTCCGCAGTGCCGTGTTTCTCCACTACTTCAGTGTCACCTTGGACATATTTCAAAGTTCAGCCTCATGAGTAAAAGAGAACCGTGTTGGCTTGAGAATCGCCTGTGCTCGTCACGAGCTGGTGAGTCACCGCCCCCTAAGCTAACATCAGTGCTCACTTAGTGGGGCCTTGGGTCCAGCCATGGCCTTTGTCCCACTCTGTGGTCAGAATGCTGACACTTTCCCTGTTGCTGTCTTTTCACAATCCCCTGACTCTCATGTCCCAGAGATCAGAAGGTTGAGAGTTGTTACTCACCCCCAGCGCATTCCCATTTCTGACCCAAAGAGCTACGGGAACTTCCCATTTTAAGTTCTCCTGAGCATTTTGAAATTTCAAACTAAAGAGAGAGAGAGAGACGCACGGACAGTTTCAGGCACGACGTCTTCTCCAGCATCAGAAAATCCCAGGAGGTTCACTAGGGCTGCCACTGCCCTTTCACTCTTCCAGCTGGAACTCAGAAGGAAACTCTTTGCAGTCGCAGCTGGGAATTGCATTTTCTGTCTACGCTGGGGGCCTCTCGCGGACTCTTTGGGAAAATACGTTACATCCTCAAGCCCCTGTTCGGGGGTTTTACAAAGCTTCACGAGCCTGTGCTCTTTTCTGAGTTTGTTGCCAGCTCTGCATGGGCAGGAAGCAGGGTGTCCCAGCTCCTGGTCTACAGAATTTAATTTACCGGAAGTTAATGATGTGTGGGCTGGACAAACCTGCTTTTACCAGCGTGGGTGTTTGGAAAACTCACCAATCTCCTCTCTATTCCTTCTGTGGAAAAGAATCCTAACTGCCTCTTCCTGCTTTTGGAAGTGAGCCCACCCACCTGGAATATTCTTCTATCCAGACCTGTGGCTATAGAGGAGCAGTAGACTGACTGTGGTCAGACCTCTGAGACAGACAGGCAGGTGCACTTGATCCTTTGAAAGGGACCAGGAACTCGCTTTATGTGTGTGTGTGTGTGCGTGTGTAGTGGTGGGTGTAGGGCCATTTAAATGCACCAGGGGGCCCAGACCACGTCAAGTGTTTGAAACCTGTGGCATATTAAGAAATTAAACTTGACTTTCAGCACCCAGATCGTGGTCTCTGACTAGTTTCCCACTAAAAGGAATAAGAGCTCTTTGCAGAAATGACTGAACCCAGTTCTGGGATAGGAACTCCACAGGATGAGCTGGGGACATCTTGTCTTAACCAAAGGAAGGAATCTATCAAAACCACCAAGACTGGACTTATTGTGCTGACCATTTCACAATACTTACAAGTATCGAATCACGATGTTTGTACACCTGAAACTAATACAATGTTACATGTTGATTACTTCTCAATTGAAAAAAGTTAACACTAAGGTCATGTCCAAAAGACCCAGGAGAAAACTTGAAAAGATTCCTTCTAACCAAATACCAGACCATTTGAACATCTATAAGAATAAGTATATTCAAATTTATGAGTCCAGGGCTTCCCTGGTGGCGCAGTGGTTGAGAGTCCGCCTGCCGATGCAGGGGACATGGGTTCGTGCCCCGGTCCGGGAAGATCCCACATGCCGCGGAGTGGCTGGGCCCGTGAGCCATGGCCGCTGAGCCTGCGCAAAAAAAAAAAAAAAAAATTATGAGTCCATAGTGATAATAAAAAAACCCCTTCATTCATTACCATTGGAGGAGGTTAGGGACTAACTCACAGGGAAAGAATTAACCATCTGTCTTGTACCTCTGGTTAATCAAATAGTTGATAAGGGGAAGTTTCTCTTTGTAGAAATATTCCAAAAGTGATATCAGAATTAGAATATCATCATTTTGCAAATCCTTAGTGAACTAATGTACCCAGGCACTGGTCATCCGTATCGGGTCACGTCACAGGAGAGTCTGCCAGACTGCCTTCTGGTGGAAGAACTTATGAAGTAGTTTTGTCACCTAAGTGAACTTGAATCTCCTCAAAATCTCAACAGTAAATCTAAGAGCATGTTCGTGGGAAACTCAGAGGACAGAGCGACATGTCAAACCACGTCGCGGGCGTGCAGTAAGTGAAGTCGTGCTGTGTGGATCAGTAGTCGATTTCTTTACGTTGCTGAGCGGTACGTACCCCGCTGTATGGAGGTCCTTCTGTCTGTCTGTTCGTTCTCCCGTTGAAGGGCACCTGGGTTGTTTCCGGTTTCTCTGTACTATGACTAATGCTGTTATAAGCATTCATGTACAGGTTTTGGTATAAATGTTTTCATTTCTTTTGGGTAAGTAACTAGGAGTGGGATTGCTGGACCAAATCATATAAGTATCTATTTAATTTTTAAGAAACTGTCAAGGTCACCATGGGCTTGCAATAAAATAGGACTTTCCTCAGGATGGTTGCTAGGATTAAATGAATTATTACATGCCAAGTGCTTAAGACAGTGCCTGGCGCTCAGTAAATGTTCACTCTCGTCATTACCCTTATTGTCAGCGTTACTTGGCCTGAGCACACCCCTTTTTCCCTGAAATTTGAGCAACGGCACAGAAATTGGCAGTATCCAGGGACCACTGGGCTGCTAGTGGTGGTGCCTGGGACAATGCTGTGTTTCTGCCAATGGTCAGGATGGAGCTGGGCTCTGGGACCGGCCCCTGCCAGCAGTGATGCCTTGTGGCTGCAGCAGGACCACTCAGCCACCACGGCCATCTGTGATTTCCCCAGGTTTTGTTTCTAACGAAGGGAAAATAAGGGAGGAAACGGTAATTTCACGGTTACCCAGTGGACACTAGGAGCCACGGCATTTGAATCTTGAAAGAGGTGCGACCTTAATTTGTAGCCCACCTATTAGACTGCATATTAATTATATTCCATCCTGTGTATTTTAAATACATTTTAAAAGATAGACTTTATTTCTTAGAACAGCCTTAGGTTTATAGAAAAATTGGGTAGTTAGTACGTCGAGTTCCCATATACCCTGCACCTAATTTTCCCTATTTTGAACATCTTACATAAGGCTGCTACAGTTGTTACAATTAATGAACCAATACTGACACATTCTTATTAACTAAAGTCTGTACTTTATCAGATTTTGTTAGTTTTTACCTGCTGTCCCTTTTCTGTTTCAAGATCCCACATTACATTTATTTATTATTTTTTTAAAAATTGAAGTATAGTTGATTTACAACATTGTGTTCGTTTCAGGTGTATAACAAAGTGATTCCGTTAAACATATATATATGTATATATACATTCTATATAGTGTGTGTATGTTGATACATTACAGTTACATTACATTTATTTGTCATGTTTCCTTAGGCCTCTCTGGGCTATGACAGTCTCAGACGTTCTTTGTTTTTGACAATCTTGACAGTTTTGAGGAGTACTGGCCACGTATCTTACAGAACATCCCTCTGTCGGGATGTGTCTGATAGTTTTTCTCATGGCTAGACTGGGGTCGTGGGTTTTGGAGGAAGACCGCATCAGTAAAGCACCATCCTCATTCTGTCATGTCAAGGCACACGCTGTCGACATGATGATCGCTATTGTTCTCACTCTGGTCACCTGGCTGAAGTCGTGTTTGTCAGCGCCTCCCCTGTAAAGCTACCCCTCCCTCCCCACATTGTCGTCTCTGGAAGGCAGCCACTGGCACAGCTCACGCTTCGGGAGCGGGGAGTTCTGCTCCACCCTCTTGAAAATGGGGCAGCTACATAAATCACTTGGAGTTCTCCTCCACGGGAGATTTGGCTCTTCTCTCCCAATTATATATGTATTCAATCAATTGTTTATATCAGTCTGGACTCGTGTAATTTATAATTTCTGTGTATTTTTAATTTTTTTAAAGCTTATGCATTTTAAAACTATGCATTTAAGTTGTACCTTTTTGTTGCATGGTAAAGAATATTATAATGAACATGTGTGTGTTCAAGTTTTGCTGATGTCTTTGCTTGTTTATTGAGTATATATTTCTAGACTTAGAAACTTGGAGCAGAAGATAGGAACATTGTAATGTTTTTTGCTATGTTCTGCCAATTTGTTTTCTAGGTACATCACTCAGCTTCTACTTCTATCTGAAGACGACGACAGTGCCTGTCTCAACACATCTTGCTGAGCGTTAAGCATTAAAATGTGTTGAAAGCTTTGTTAAGATGATAGGAAAAAAGTATCACCCTTTTCAGCAAATCTAAAAATTTTTAAAATACTTCCTAAGATGGTAGGGAAGACAAGTGTCTATATTTTAATTTGTGTTTCATTGCCAGTGAGGGCACACATCTTTGCTACTTTTTGATGGGGGAACAAGCACAGGTGGAGTGATCCTCTGGCCTCAGGCTCACTGCTGAGCTATGGTTTGGCTATCACAGAGCATCTCTTTTCTGCGAGAGCCGTAGGGTCACCCAAATATAAAAGAACATGAAGAAAAAGGGTGGGCTACGCCCCCTTTTTGCCATGATGCTCAGAAACAGTAGTTGCGGCCCTTCTCTGGTCACCCCATAGTGTGATGGAATATTCTGGAAAGCCTCTAGGTGGGAACGTTGCAGGAGGTGGCTTTTATGATTGGCCTGAGCCGGAAGCTGCCCCCCTCCATGCCTCCATTCACTCAACACTTCTGTGCTGTATCTACACAGTGACTTGTGCACCCCTATGCCAGTGTGAGTACTGCATCTTCCCACCCAGGAGACCCTGAAGTCTAGCAAAGCCTAGCTATTCAGCACTTTGGATAACAAGTGTGGTTAATCAGTACTGTTGGTGCTCTAGTGGGAAGAAGTACAAAGCCTGAGTACCTTTCTGCAGGTGGGGATGGCTTCACAGGGGAACTGACAAAATAGAGCTAGATCTTAACAATAAATATGAGCCTGTCAGCTGGAGAAAAGAGAGGAGAGCATCTGACACCAAGCTGTGGGGAAGCAGTGGGTGATTTGTAATGGGAGCACCAAGGATGAATTTTGGTAGCCACGTGACCGAGGTCTAACAGAGCTGAGCAGAAGTGATGTGCACGACTCCAAGCCCGGAGTGTGGGCTTCAGCCCCCTCTGCAGGCTCTGCTCTGCTCTCGTCCCCTTCCAGATGGGGACACCACCCACGTGGTTATGGAAGCCACGCTTGACGATGGCAGAGACTATCACCCTGGCGACCATAACAATTTTGTGAGAGGGCTGCCCCACCAGGATTTTGCCCCTGGTATTTATAAGTGAGCAGGAAATAGCTTCTGTTGTCTTTGACATTATGTATCAAATATACTAGCTTACTGTGTACTTACTAAATACAAATAAGCCAGCTTCCAGTAACCAATAAACCGCGGGCAGGGAGGGAAAAATAGTGAAGGGCTTCGAATGCCACACCAAGGAGTCTGGGTTTATTGCTGTAGGAACAGGATGACTTGTTTGTTTGTTTGTTTGTTTTTGCGGTACGCGGGCCTCTCACTGCTGTGGCCTCTCCCGTTGCGGAGCACAGGCTCCGGACGCGCAGGCTCAGCGGCCGTGGCTCACGGGCCCAGCCGCTCCGCGGCACGTGGGATCTCCGCGGACCAGGACACGAACCCGCGTCCCCTGCCTCAGCAGGCGGACCCTCAACCACTGAGCCACCAGGGGAGCCCAACAGGATGATTTTTAAACACAGAGTGACATGCTGAGTGTGCGTGTGGAATGAGTGGGACACACCTTCCAATCCACGGACAACACCCTGGTCTCTGAGATCTTTGCGCGTTACGAATTCCTTCATCAGCCTCCACTAGACTGAACTTTTGGAAGTGCCAGATATGAATCCCACTGGCATCTTGAGAGTCTGCAGGGTCCTCAGAAATAAGCTAGAAGGTATTTGAAGAGCGTTCTTTAACAATCACAAATTCCTCCTCTTCCTCTGTGTATGCCCTGTGCAATATGCAATGTGGCTATCTATCAAGAGATAGGGTACGTCAGCTCCTCCCCTGAAACAGAGGCACGGCCATATGACTTACTTGGGCTCAAGGGACATTAGCACACACGACACAAGTTGGCTCAAAACACACTTGTGTATTGGAGCTCGGTCACGCTTGCTCCCTGAGGCCTCCAGGTAAAGAAGTCTGGGCTGGTCTCCTTAAGAATGATATAGAACATATGGAGAAGGGCAGACAGACATGTGAAGCCATCTTAGAGGAATCATCCCAAGCAATCCATCAGATGATTGGGAAGCTCATGAGTGACCCCAGGTAAGACCAGCAGAAGACCTGCCCAGCTGAGCCCAGCCCAAGTTGCCAACCAGAGAATCATGAACAATAACCCACTAAGTTCTGGGTATTTTGTTACACAGCAATAGATAACTGATACAATGCATGCGATATCTCACTGTCGAGAAGATCCCAGTTGATGCCAGTACAGAAGAAATAAGCCATAGACTCACAACCCCTACCCCCATTCCCTCAGAGCTCTCAGAGACTCAACAGAGCAGCTGCTAATATTCTGTCTGAACATATGGATTTATTTTTCTATAAAACAGAAAGAAAATAATTTCCTTTAGTCACTCCAGTTTTGTTTCTGATAGTTCTTGTGCTTCTATTTTTTCCCTTCTCTTCTTTCTAGTTTCTGTTGTAAGAATAGTCTAGTTGTTAGATATTTTAACTCCGCGCACATGCCTCTCTCTACTTGGGGTAACACCAGAATGTTGAAATTTCCTTTGCTTTTGTGGACGCTCATGCTTCTTTCACATGTAGCTTCATTACTTCCTCTTTTCAATTTCTTAAAGATAGCCCTTAATTAAGAAAGAAGAACCTTCTTTAGATTTCTTAATGTTTTCCTTGACCTTCTCTCCCAAATTAAATATGTAATCTTTATATTACAATTACCTGAAATTATCAATATTATTTACATAAATCTCTGTATAGAACCCTGTCTTCTGTATGACAGGAATTGGCAATATGAAGAACAAATTCAGAATCACATGATAGGGAAAGTTGTTAGCTATAAAACACTTGCTCATCAACGATTCTTTAAATTTCACCATTAGAATGCATCTCTCACTAGAGATTTATCTTTTCTATCTGAAAAGTCTTATCTTTCAGCCAAAAGTTTAACATCATTGTGGCTTCTTCTCTGCCATTTGTGCATTCAGTCACTATTCACTGAGTTTTCTGAATACTCAGCTGGGGCATGGAGATAGAAAGATGCATACAAAACTCTGCCTTCACGAGAGAAAGCACAGTGATAGAAAAATAATACTACTTCAACGTGCTAAGTGTCATAATAGACACGCACAGGGCATTGCAGGAGGCAGAGGTCTGTGTGCGCGTTTGGGGGTAGCTGTGAATAAGGAAAGGTCTGAAGAAGGAGATACTGGATTAGGCTGTAAGTTACAAGTAGGGGTTAGTCGTGAGATGTGTATGAGATGTGGGGGAAGCATGTAACGTGAGGCAGGGCAGGATGAGAAGGCGGGTGGACAGAGCCTGTCCAGTGGTCAGAGGCTGTAGCGAACCAGGTTGAGGAGTAGACTTCATCTTGTAAAGCAGAGTGAGCCGTGGAGGATTGCCAGTAAGGGAGTAACGCTGAAGACGCGATGGTGGGTTTGAAAGGGTGAGGAGACCATCGGAGCCTGTGATCCTTGCATCCTGGATAGAGAACGAAGACGTGAAGTAAGATGGTGCCGGCTTTGGGCTGTTACGAGGCCAAGACTTTATCAACCTTTGTTTCAAACTTTATTCCCAGGCTTCTTCAGCTTAATTAGCTGCAAAGAATGAATTGTATAAGTAAAAACTGAAAAGAGCTGCAGTATCGAAGGGGCAGGAATGAAAAGAAGAGATAAATGAGGAAATGTTTAGAAAGCTGAGCTGGCAGAAGTTAAATTTGATTGGCTGTGTGAAGTAAGGGAGAAAGAGTCAGGGTGACTTCTGGGGGTCTCGTTTGGTGAGGTGTGAGAGCCCTGACGTGGGGACACAGGAGGAGACGCACCAGCGGCGGAGGGGACCTTTTCAGCCTCTGCAGAACGCTCTCAGCGCTCATATGGCAGAGCCATTTGTCATTGGCTCAGTTTGCTGGACACGTGACCGGTCAAGTTCATCCAACTGGAACTTGCCTTCCTTGTCTTCTTAATTCATTGCACCAGGTGAGGATTTTGGCTGGAGTATGAGGAAGAGAATCAAGCCTTGGTCAGAAATGTGACACCATCAATCGCAAACTGGTTGATTTCGATAGATACACAGTCCAGAGGAAATTTCCCAGAAGCTGTTATCACTGCGTGCGGAGACTAAGCCTCCCTTCATGATCGGACTGGCTGCTCTCCCTCCTCGAGAGGTGAAGCTGTTGCTCCTGCTTCCATGTGACCGTGGTCACTGACACGATGGAATAAGTAGTTGGCTTAATGATGTCACTTAATGGGCTGTGGAATTTTAATGCAGGCAGTTCTTCGTGTAAATACTGTCAGGAAAGAGGTTTTCCTTTCTTTTCTTTCTTTTTTCTTTAATCTTCAAGAGAAGCTGTTTTAATTAAACAAAGGGCAGGAAGTTCCTTCCTGAATGGTTAAAGCCCTCTTGATTATACTAGCAATGTGCTGATTACAAACTGCTCCTTGGCCATTTCTGCTGCATTTACCAGAATCCTTGTTAAATAACATTTTCCCAAAAACGATGTGAGAAAAAACAAACAATGGAGCATATAAGTGGTTGACAGATAGGAAAAAACACAACGAATAGAAAAGCTTTTATGCTTCTTCACTTTGAGATAAAGGAAAAAGATATACACCTTTCTCTTTAAAATATTATTTTTAGGTAAAAAGTTGGTTTCATTGACATTATTACATATGTAACTTCATGCTCAATGCAATCTTTTAAAAGAGGTAAGATTTTTAAATAGATGTTCCTATTATAGAACGTTCAGACAATACAGATAAGCAAAAAGAGGAAAATACACATCTCTCACAGTTTCTCCACTCTGAGATAATCCATGTTAAAGCAGTTTTTCAGTTTTCTTTCCTTACATCCAGGGTGAAGGGAAAAGCATTCACCAGTTTGTTGTGGGGAGAGCATGGTCCCTGTCTGAAAGGAACATACTGATGGTTTGATCGGTGGAGGCTGCAAACGATAAGCTCAAAAAAAAAAAAAAAATCCAGTCTGCTGGGGCCTCCTAAACAGAGAGGTGCTGGGGGCTCGGGAATCACTTCGTGCTTCAAGCTGTAATGCATGGGGTCTGCAGTTCCAGGATCGGAGTTGGGGGTCAAGCTGAATCTTTCTATGTAAGAGAAATGAAAAGATTTTGAGGTCCGTTTTGGGAAGGAGCAAGATGCCAAACTAGGAGAAGGAAAATGGGATCAAGAGAGGTGGCCATGGCAGGAGGGATGGGGAGATAAGAAAAACTCTTGAAGCTGTACGGTCTGGGAAGGACCTCTGGTTTCATGTGAGATACACGATGCATCCTGCATCTTCTGGGATTCTTCCAAAAAATGTCAAGGAAATCTTCATCGGTCGCTAATGCTTTTGAGGGAGTAGGTTCTTTTCCTTTACACATAGGGTCCTTGCTACCTGGGTATTGATTATCGGAGTCCCCCCAGTTGCCAGTTTTTTTCTTTTCCATTGTGGTTTACTACAGGATATTGACTACAGTTCCCTGTGCTCTACAGTAGGACCTTGTTGTTTATCCATCCTATATATGAGTTTGCATCTGCTCATCCCACACTCCCAATCCATCCCTCCCCCTTGGCAACCACAAGTCTGCTCTCTATGTCTGTGAGTCTGTTTCACAGAGAAGTTCTTTTGTGTCATATTTCAGGTTCCACATATAAGTGATATCATATGTATTTGTCTTTGCCTGGCTTACTTTACTTGGTATGATAATCTCTAGGTTCATCCATGTTGCTGCAAATGACATTATTTCATTCTTTTTTATGGCTGAGTAGTATTCCATTGTATATATATATCATATCTATATCTATATATATCACATCTTTCTCTGTTCATCTGTCGATGGACACTTAGGTTGTTTCCACGTCTTGGCTATTGTGAATAGAGCTGCTGTGACCATAGGGGTGCGTGGATCGTTTTGAATTAGAGTTGTGTCTGGGTGTGTGCCCAGGAGTGGGTTTGCTGGGTCATATAGCACCAGCTGCCACTTTGTTGGAGGAAGTCCAGGCTAACTAGTGTGACAACATTCCCTAATGCTCTGGCCACACATAAAGTCAGTCAAT